GGTAACCTCCTTAAGTGCAGAAACTATCTTTCTTTTTTATTTGTATTTGTATGTCCATTGCTTAGCACAGTGCTTGGCACATAGAAGGCATGTAATAAATGTTTATAGACTAATTAATCTCCCTTTATAGAATATCTTACTTCTCCCACAGGAAAAGTTATCAATGTTACCCCTACTCCCATTTATAAAAAGATTCCCCGTCCCTCTTTTCCTCCTAAATATCAAATTTTTTTCTTTCCCTCATTTTGGATCCTCCCTTTGCTGCCCCATTCATTCTTTTTCTTTTTTGGGGGGGGGTAAGGCAATTGGGGTTAAGTGACTTGCCTAGAGTCACACAGCTAGAGAGTGTTATGTGTCTGAGGTCAGATTTGAACTCAGGTGCTCCTGACTTCAGGGCCAGTGCTCTATCCACTGTGCCACCTAGCTGCAACCTTCCCCCCCCCCATCCATTCTACTATAGTGTTTTTCACTGATAGGCCGCAGGACCAGTATTTCTTTTTTTCTCCTTCCTCATCATTGCTTACCATAAACATATAATAAGAACTAATCAAATATATTTTCATAAATTAATTAGTTCTTAGTCAGCCAGTAAACAAAATTAGGTTAAAGCAAAAGTGTTGACTAAGCAGGTAGGTGGCACAGTGGATACAGTGCTGTGCCTGGAGTCAGGAATACTCATCTTCCTGAGTTCAAATCTGGCTTCAGAAACTTACTAGCTGTGTGACCCTGGGCAAGCCACTTAACCTTGTTTGCTTCAGTTTCCTCATCCGTAAAATGAGCTGGAGAAGGAAATGGCAAACCACTCCAATATCTTTGCCAAGAAAACCCCAAAAGAGGCAGACTTGACTGAAAACAACTGAACAACAACAAAAGCATTGACTAAGAGAGTATTACAAGAAAAACAGTAAGACAATATCTGGGGCACACTATTGCACAATTATGCATTGTGTGGTCAAGAAGAATGGGCGTTTACATAGAGTATATTAAGAAACAGCTAGAAATCTAGGGAACATATGTGGCTAAGACATTTCACATCTGTAACATGAATGTTCCCTAATGTATTTCCTCTGACTCCTGGGCAGGTTGCTCATCTGAAATTCTCAGGCATATTCTTCAATGTAGTTATACCTGCAATAGCAAAATTCATTTGTCTTCTTACCTCTCTATCTTTTTTTTTTTTAGGCAATTGGGGTTATAACTTGCCCAGGGTCACACAGCTAGTAAGCATTGGTCTGAGGCCAAATTTGAACTCAGGTCCTCCTGACTTCAAGGCTGGTGCTCTATCCACTGCGCCACCTAGCTGCCCCAGTCTTCTTGCCTTTCTGAGATCACACTTTTCAGATGATTCCTTCCTTGACTCATTTGATACCTATTCCCTGCTAGGTATAGTATCTCCTGCTGAACAGAGTACTGCTGTAAGATGCCTTGACTAATGGGCATGTATGGGTTTGTAAAGAAATACATTCCGCGATAGGAGGCCAAATGAGATTTCCTTTCAGGACCTAGATTCTTCTTCTCTACATGTCTCACTTCTCAGCTCCCAGATGTATTCCTCAGAGCCATCTCCTGTCTTGCCACTTGCTGTTCTTTTAGAGTGTCTCTTTAGATTAAAAAAAAAAGTTCTCTAGGGTGTGACTAATCTTTTGCTAGGCAATGCAAGTTTTGTTTTTCTTTTTTCATCCAAATTCAAATTTGATCTGTGAACCTCGTTATACTTTGTAAAGGAATAACACATTTTACATCTTTCTTAACACTTCATTGATTAGATTACTTTTCTCTTCTGTGATTTTGGCAACTGGACTTTAAGAACAACTTTTGATCGGGGTTGCTTTTTCCTTCCCAATTATACCATTAGATGGAGCATAAGCACCAATGTATGGAATGTGCTATCTCTACAAAAACAAATTCTCCAAAAGGTCCATTTGGTTTGGAATCTCTGGTAAGTGAAGGGAGATGTAGTAGTTTATTTTCAACTTTGTGCAAAATCTCACACAAGTCATAGATCATACACTGTCCAAATTTTATTTATATATGTATATAATGTATATATATATCTATACATTCATATTTATACATATACATACATACATATATATGTATGAGCTTTGAAATGAGAGATTTGCCATCGGGTAGAGACTGAGGCTTTTAACTGTATTGTCTTTGTCAGAACCAATGAGAGTAATGTATGATGTAATAATTGTTGTGGGCACTATTATTCGATGTGGCGAGGAAAACACATCCTGGTTTTATCAAATTAGGCTGCGGCAGATGGCAGATGAGTAAGTTATATCATTGGACTTAATGAGAGAAAGGAAAATGAGCAAACAAATATACAAACTCATCAGATCCATTACTTTTTTCTTGTTTATTAAATGTATTTATTTTTAGTTTTCAACATTTACTTTTATAAGATTTTTGCTTTGTTATGTTATCTTTATACTCAGTGTCTAACACCGGCTCTCTCCAAAAAATCGTAATATACCAACATCTGCAGCCAACACTAAAATCCCATTGTAGTACAATCTCTGGAAAGGGGGACAAAGGACAAAACTACTGTACCTTATATATCATATCCCTATCCTCCTGGCACCAGGGTGGTAACCTAGGTCATTAAGTGCAGCCCTTTGACTGAATCCAAACTTGGACTCAAAAAAGCCACAACCAAGGACAGAGAAGGCCACAGGTTCCCCACCCCTGTCCTGGGCACAATCTTCAATTCACCTCAGTGGTTCTTGATATCTTCCATGGTTTTTGGAATGTCAGAATTGTTGTTTAGTCATTTCAGTCATGTCCAACACTTTGTGACCTTATCTGGGATTTTCTTGGCAAAGATGCCAGAATGCTTTGCCATTTCCTTCTCCAACTCATTTTACAGGGAACTGAGGCAAACAAGATTAGGTGACTTGCCCAGGCCTCTTACTAGTGAGAGTCTGAGGCCATATTTGAACTCAGGGAGATGAGTCTTCCTGATCCCAAACATCCACTGCACTACCTAGCTGCCCAAAACATTCATTAGTCTTTTATTATGTCAAAGCACTATGTTCAGCACTAGAAAAAGACAGACAATTTCTGCTCTTATGGCATTAGCCAGTTGTTTTTCAGTGCTGTCTGACTCTGTAACCCCACTGGGGTTTTCTTGGCAAAGCTACTGGAGTTGTTTGCCATTTCCTTTTCCAGATCATTTTACAGATGAGGAACTGAGGCAAACAGAGTCAAGTGACTTGCCCAGGTTCACACAGCTAGTAAGTGTCTGAGGCCAGATTTGACCTCAGGAAGATGTCTTCCTGACTCCAGGCTAGCATTCTATCTACTGTGTCCCTAGCTGTTGTTTGATTAGTCATCTAATAAAAGTCTTCTGCACCTTCCTAGGGAGAAGGTACAGTGGAAGATGTGTGTATGCTCCATCCCTATGACTCAGCACAGTCCCTTCCTACCCTATAAATCCAGGGAATTAGATTTAGGGTCAAGGTGGGGACTGTAGATTATGGGTAGAGTATCTCTTAAAGATCTTATTCTCTGCTTCTCTGAGTGCGCTCGCGCTCTCTCTCTCTCTCTCTCTCTCTCTCTCTCTCTCTCTCTGTGTTTCTGTCTCTCTCCTTTTAACAAATAAATATTTACTGAGATATATCAAGAAAAAGAAATGAAATGAATTACTCCCCCCCCCACCTCATCTGTCTCCCATACTAACTTAGTCCCTGGGGAGAGTAAGTTCACACTTCAAGCAGTTTTTACATAGAATTACAAAAAACAAACAAATGGAAAAAAACCCACTTCTGAATTCAGCATAATGGACAGATTAGTTTCAAAGGATGAGTTGCTCTTTCTTTCCTCTTAGATGCTTTAAATCTATTTCAATGCTGGGTGGTTAATTAGGTAGTGCTTCCCACCAGTACTGGCCATCCCCAAGATTTGTCAGTAGTTCCAGCTAACCTTTTAAAGCTCACCAGATCATAGGCCTCATATCCTTTCATTTAAGAGCAGGAAAGAGCAAAAAGGCAAGAGCACAAAACCCTGTATTCACAACACACATACTGATGGCTTGGTAGAGGAGATAGTAAAGTGATAGGGGATTCCCGCCGCCATTGCTGTCACATCTCTCAGCAATAGCATGGCTCTGTTCTCCTAGGTTTATTGTATTTTTGGATGAGGGAGGTACTGAGACCCATTTCCCACCTGAAGGAGGAACATAATTGCTTTTCCTCATTGCTCACCACCAGAGAAAGAAAAGAAAGGATTCATTGATTGATATGGTATAAAAGAACCTTAATGGATTAGATTATCATGTATTTGTCATTTAGGAATATATGCTAGAATAACCATACTCGCTTCTAGTTAAACACTTCTAGTTAAAAACTTTTTATACCAGAGGTGGGATTTTTGTCTTTTTTTTCCCTTAGAATTGGGTTTTTCCCTCTCCAGTGTCCCTGAGAAGGACCATCTTGGTGACAGCTGCCCCAGCTATATCATCTCTTGTTGTAATTTTCAAAAGTGCAAGGGGGATGGTGAGACCAAAATGTTTGAGAACCGTTGCTAAAAGTAATAATTAATACTTAGCATACGGAATAAATAAAACCTCTGTATTTCTTATTGAAGAATAACAATCAGACAATGTTTTGTGTGTAGCTAAGATCCAAATTTAATTCATTTATCCTACATTTATTTATCAATATACAGCCAACAAGTATTTATTAAACTTCTGTTATGTACTAGAAGTTAGAAAGTTAGTTAGGAAGTAGAATGAGAAAGAGAAAAATGAAGCAGGATATATCTATAGGGGTCTTATACTCTTATTACTCCATTAACAAAAATAACATGAGCACATGTAAATTCTTACTGTGTGCACAGCACTGTGCCTTATGAGGCATTGTGAATAATTGGATATTGTGATGTAAGGCAAGAAAAAGCAAAAAAAAAAAAAGAGGCAGCATTAAATGCATCTATTAAATGCATCTGTGTATATGCATTAGAGGAAGCCAATTTAAGCCAAAGGGAATACAATATTACTTTATTTCATTTTTACACCTGCAGCTAGCTTCACATCTTGCAGCAACTACCTTATGATTGCATGAAGCAATACGTACAGCATCTGGACAGTTAATAGCAACATCAACGTAGGGACATGGATTGGCTGAAAAACAAACATATTTGAATAAATAGGACATTATTCATAGAAGGAGAAAATCCATTTCAATATAAAAACCATTTTGACATATCTACTGTGTTCCAGGCATTGTGCCCAGCATTGGTAATTCCAATTGAAAATTAAATAAGCAACACATGTTTGTATTTATAATATACACACATATACATAAATTTATACACATATATATGTACAAGGATAAGGGATATCCTGTGGAAATAAACAGATATGGGATCATACAGAACCCAAATGAGATAAAATTTTAGTCTAGTTTTGAAGAGCATGGGATCGATGTAATGTTTTGAGAGGCTGGCCTTAATGAGGAGAGATATCATATCCCCTGAGACTGGAGATAAGGTGGAAAGAATAACTAAAAATATACAGAAGTTTGGGGATATGTAGAGGGTAGAAATGATCACTCAGAATAGATGGATTCAATCATTTCAGTAAAATATGCGAGACTATCTTGTGAGAGGGAAGAATAGACTTAGAATGGGTACCTTGAACCTTGTATGGAACATGATATCAATTATAGATGATTAGAATTATCACTATATGGTTGGGCAGAGCCAACATAAAAATGACAATTTTACCTAAAGTAATCTATTTATTTGATGCCATCCCAATTAAATTACCAAAAATATTTTATTGAGCTAGAAGAAAGTAAAATTCATTTGGAAGAACAAAAGGTCCAAAATATCAAAGGAATTAATGAAAAAAATTAAATGAAGGAGCTTTAGATATAATAGATCTTCATCTATACTATAAGGCAGTAATTATCAAAACAATGTGGTATTGACGAAAGCATACAAAGGTAGATCAGTGGAACAGAGTATATATACAATACACAGTGGTAATTGATTATAGTAACCTTGTGTTTGACAAATGTAATGATTTAAGCTTTTGGATAAGAATTAGCTATCTGGTAAAAATTGTCAGGAAAACTAGAAAGCAATCTGACAGAAATTGGGTATAGACTAATATCTTATGCTTTTTACCAAGATAAGGTCAAAATAGATACATGACTTAGATGTAAACGGAGATATAAGAAAATTGGAAGAAAGTGGAACATATTACCTATCAGACTTGTGGATAGGAAAATCTATGGATAAAGAAGAGACAGAGAACGTTGTGGAATATAAAATGGATAATATTGATCGCATTAAAGTAAATGGTTTTGTACAAAGGACACCAGTGTAGCTAAGATTAGAAAGAAAGCAGAACACTGGGAATGGTCTTTATAGACAGTTTCTCAAATAGAGATCTCATGTCTCAAATATATAAAGAACTTTGTCAAATTTAAAAGAATATGAATCATTTCCTTAATGATAAATGGTCAAAGGTTATGAACATGCAGTTTTTTTAATGAAGAAATCAAAGCTGTATCAAAGTCATAAAACTGATAAAACTGTATCAAAGTCATATAAAATCCTCTAAATCATTATGAATTAGAGAAATACGAATTGTAACAATTTTGAGATTTCATCCCACATCTATTGGATTGACTAAAATGATAAAGTGGAAAATGACAAATGTTGGAAAGGATATAAGACAATTGGGACATTAATACAGTGTTGGTTGAATTGTAAACTAACCTAATCATTTTGGAGAACAATGTGGAATTATGCCCAAAGTGTTGTGAAAGTATGTATGCTCTTTGACACAACAATACCATTAGGTCTATTCCAAAAGGTGATCAAGGAAAAGAACTTATAAGTTCTAAAATATTTGTAACAGCTCTTGTTGTGGTGGCAAAGAACTTGAAATTGAAGGGATGTCAATCAATTGGAGAATGGCTAGACAAGTTGTGTTATATGGTTGTAATGAATGCTACTGTGCTGTAAAAAATGATCAGTTGGTTGATTTTAGAAAAAAAATCCTGAAAGACTTGCATGAAATAATGAAGAGTGAAATGAACATAAGCAAAAGAATATCATATACAGTAACAACAATGGTGTTCAAAGAATAATGACTAAGTAATTCTGAGTATTATTCAAATTATTGAGTATTACTGAAATGAACTACAAAGGACCTGTGAAGGAAGATAGTATTCCCCTCCAGAGATAGAATTTATAAAGAGAAGTATGCATAGTATGGTTTCACGTGTGTGTGTGTGTGTGTTTGTGTGTGTGTGTGTTTGTATGAAATGGTGGCCTTCTCTAGTTCAGGGTGGGAATGGAGGGAAAGAAATAGTTCAAAACTTAAAGTGCAATAAAATTAATTAAATAAAAAAACAATGATTGTTACACAGTGGTCAAGGTCCATTTAAAAAAATCGTCAGTCAACCAAAAAATATTTCTTAACTGTCCCCTTTGTTTTAGAAGTTGGCCAAGATGGAATACAACATATTCCTTGATAAACAAATAGAGTAATAATAAGCAAATATATACAAAATATATGCAAAATTATTTAAAGGGCACATAACCTTTGTAGGAGTCATAAAATAGCACTTGAAGGAGGTGGCTCATAGTCCTTTAAGCACCTAGCTGCTTCAAGGGGTTGGAAGAGGTGGTCATGAAAAAGAAGACCATTTCAATAATAGGTCAAAGGATTGTAGATTTAATGCTGGAAAAGAACTTAGAAGACATTGTGTCCAACCTTCTCATTTTACATATGAGGAAACTGAGACCCAGAAATGTTAAGTGTTTTAAAAGGTGAAAAAGTTCAGATTCAGAGAATTTAAATGTTGTGTCCATTTTTACAGAGTAAGTAAATATTGGGGGCAGAATTTAAACAAAGAATTTCCTTACTGTATGCCTAATACTCTATCCACCACATACCATGTTAGCTTTTAACAGATTGTTATAGGAATAGTTTGGTGAAAGACAAGGGCCTTTGTTAGGAACACTGACCAGACCAAAATAACTTAATTTCCTTTTTGGAAAAGGTAACTAGACTGAAAGTTTAGGACATTGCTGTAGATATAGTTTGTCTAGATTTTAGCAGAGTATTTTTAAATCTCTCATGGTGTTTATAAACAAAATGGATATATTGGACCTTTTTGAATTATTAGACCCAAGGAGTAATCTACAATAGGTTTAACAAATGAAATAATTTTCCTCTACAAAACGAAAGAGGTAATAATCCTCTAATAGCAATATGGCAGAGTAAAGTCTTGGACTGTAGTCACTAATACTCTGTTTAGATCTTTCCACAGTTACTGTGAACCCCTGAGCAAGTGTCAGTTTTTCTCATTCTCAGCTTCTTAATATGTAACATGGGAATAATAATAGCACCTATATCACAGAGATGTCAAGATGTGAAGTGCTTTGCAATCATTAAAGCACTATATAAATAATAATTACTTTTGGGTTTTATGATGATGATGTTGAATTGGAGAGAAATCTCTAGTGAAGTATTCTGATGATTTCTATTTGGCTCTCTGCTATTAAACATGTTCATCAAGGACTTGAAGACAAAGCTTATTATATTATCAGATATTATATGACTGCATCACAGAATTGGAATGGAATGATTGACCAAATCTAAGATGAAATTAAATATGGATATATGTGAACTTCAGTTCAAAGAATCAATTGCAGAAAACCAAACTGGTCAAGGGGTAAGGGTTACTGAGTTAAGATTAACTTGTCAAAAGTTTTAATTGAAAATGTATGAATAGGTATGAAGAAGAATGTGAGTCAGTAAGGTGATATGGAAGCCAAAAAATGCATCTTGGTTTGCATTGAGAATGGACAATTTACCAAAGCAGCATGAAGGATAACATCCCTATACAGATCAAAAGGGGTGATAAACATATGGCCAGTTACTTCTTTAATATTTTGTTTATGGCAGCCATATTTTTAAAAATTATGTCATAAAGTTGAAGTGCGTCCATTGGAGGGTAATCACGATAGTTAAAGGACTGATTAACATACTATGTGAGACTCATTTGAAGAACTTTGGGAACCTTTAACCAAAATTTTAGATGTTTTAAGAAGGACAGGATAACTATTCACGTATTTATAGGTTTTTGATGTGGAAATAGAGCGAAACTTGTTCTCCTCAGCCTGGGAAGGAGAACAAGGAGCAACTGGTGAATGTTTTAAAGAAACACGTTTTGGTTCTATTTAAGATGAAAAAACAAAACAAAACAAGATTCTAACAATTAGAATAGTCACCAGGTGGTATGGTGGTAGCAGTTTCTTAGGTTTTCAGGATGAGCCTGGATTACCTTTTGTCAAGGATTTTTCAGAGGGCATTCTTGATTATATACCATTTGGACTAGACAGTCTCTAAAGTCCTTTCCAATTATGTGATTCTATAAGATTATGTGGTCCTGAGACACTAGAGTCCATGAAATTCCCAGTCATTGTTTTGGGTCAAAGTATTATAGCTCCAGAAAGTTAGTCCAAGTGTCCACAAGGAAGAAGGGCATGTTAAATCATTACTACTCATTGTCTTTAGTATTGATTATTTTTATCATGTTAACTAGCTGAGAATTCATAAATAAGAGTCAAGTACTATAAGAGAGATAGAAGCCAAGAAAAAAAAAACTCTGGTAGAAAAGCTGAAAATAAGGGCTGCTACTAGGGGAATGGGAGATAAATGTCTAAGATCAGAGTACATACAATGTGCAGAAAGAGGGTGCTTGTAGGTTGGAGAATAGTGTCTGAAAGGACATGAGAAGGAAAGTATATGACTGGAAAAGCAGGACCAAACCAACACTTATTTCCTTAATTATTTTGTTAGCCTTGCTTATAGGACCAAAAATTTGTCAGTAAAGTGAGATGTAGGAATCTAGTTCAACTTTCCATTCTATTACAGGATCATAGATATAGAACAAAAAGAGACCTTACAGTCCATGTAGTACAACCACCTCATTTTAAAGATTTAGAAAATGAGGCCCATGGAATTTAAATGATTGATCAACAGAACACACAGAATAGATATCAGAGGTGGGATTTGAACCCAGGCCTTCTGATTCCAGAACTAGTGCTTTTTATGTTAAAGAATTACCTCAGGGGCCGAGCCAAGATGGCAGAATGAAAGCAGTGACTTGCTTGAGCTCTCCTCCAAACCCCTCCAAATACTCATAAAAAATGGCTCTAAACAAATCCTGAAGCAGCAGAACACACAAAAAGACAGAGTGAAACAAATTTCCAGCCCAAGACAACCTGGATGATGATCAGAAAGGTGTATCGCCAGGAGCAGCACAGCGCGTGCGCACACTGCAGAACCTGGAGCAGGCCTCAGAGGACTGAATCTCGGGCAGCTGTGGTGGTTTCCAGACTCCTCAATCCACGAATGCCAAAGACAACTTAGAAGGTCAGTGGGAAAAGTCTGTTTCTGTCAGTGCTGAGACAGGAAGGTGGGGTTTCAGCACCATTCCCCAAGAGCGGCCCTGGGGGGGCAGCTGCTTCCCGAGCTTCTGGCTCACAGACTGAGGGGGAATCCAGTGGCTGATCAGAGAGGGATTGCAGGGATCTCTTTGCCAGTGCTGAGGCAGGAATCTCTTGCTTTGCCCTTTGGATCTGGGTCACAGTTCTGGCGGTGCTGGGGTGAGGAGGAATGCTGGCATGGTAGCTTGAGTGGCTGTGGAGAGGAACCCTCCTCACAGTTACAGGACAGAAAGGAATACTTGTGGTCACAGGCCAGGAAAGGAGTAAACACCTCCCCTTATCATACCACCTTGGAAGAACTGAAAATTTACAGGTCCCTACAAGTATCTCTGAAAACAGCTGTACAAACCCCTGAAGCTTGGGACAGTACATTCTCCACATTGGAAGCAGACTCTTACCTTAACAAAGAGTTTAAAACTCAAGTAATTGGCTGGGATCATGAGCAAGCAGCAAAAAGAGTCAGACTATAATCTTACTTTGGTGAAAAAGAAGATCAAAATATACAACCAGAAGAAGACAACAAAGTCAAAGCTCCTACATCCAAAGCCTCCAAGAAAAAATATGAATCAGTCCCAGGCCTTGGAAGAGCTCAAAAGGGATTTTGAGAAGCAAGTAAGGGAAGTAGAGGAAAAACTGGGAAGAGAAATGAGAGTGATGCAAGAAAATCATGAAAAACAAGTCAACAGCTTGCTAAAGGAGACCCAAAAAAATACTGAAGAAAATAACACCTTAAAAAATAGCCTAACCCAAATGGCAAAAGAGGTCCAAAAAGCCAATGAGGAGAAAATGCCCTAAAAAGAAAAATTGGCCAAATGGAAAAGGAAGTCCAAAAGCTTACTGAAGAAAATACTTCCTTAAAAATTAGAATAGAGCAATTGGAAGATAGTGACTTTATGAGAAATCAGACACAGTAAACAAATCCAAAAGAATGAAAAATTAGAAAACAATGTGAAATATCTCATTGGAAAAACAACTGACCTGGAAAATAGATCCAGGAGAGAGAATTTAAAAATTATTGGACTATCTGAAAGCCATGATCAAAAAAAGAGCCTAGACATCATCTTTCAAGAAATTATCAAGGAAAACTGCCCTGATATTAGAACCAGAGGGCAAAATAGAAATTGAAAGAATCCACAGATCTCCTCCTGAAAGAGATCCCCAAAGGAAAACTCCTAGGAATATTGTAGCCAAATTCCAGAGTTCCCAGGTCAAGGAGAAAATATTACAAGCTGCCAGAAGGAAACATTCAAGTACTGTGGAAACACAATCAGGATAACACAAGATTTAGCAGCTTCTACATTAAAGGACCGCAGGGCATGGAATATAATATTCCAGAGGGCAAAGGAGATAGGATTACAACCAAGAATCACCTACCCAGCAAAACTGAGTATAATCCTTCAGGGGAAAAAATGGTCATTCAGTGAAATAGAGGACTTTCAAGCATTCTTGATGAAAAGACCAGAGCTGAATAGAAAATTTGACTTTCAAATACAGGACTCAGTGGAACATGAAGAGGTAAACAGGAAAGAGAAATCATAAGAGACTTATTAAGATTGAACTGTTTACATTCCTGCATGGAAAGATGATATTTATAACTCATGAGACCTTTGTCAGTATTAGGGTAGTTGGAGGAAAAAAATTATATGTATGTATAGTAGATAGATAGGGCACAGGGTGAGTTGAAGATTAAGGGTCATATCTGGAGAATAAAATTAAGGGATGAGAGAGGATTATACTCAGAGAAGAAGAAAGGGAGAGGTAGAATGGGGTAAATTATCTCACAAAAAAAAACAGAAAAGAAAAGTCTCTTACAGAGGGAAACGGGGAAGGTGAGAGAATGAGTGAATCTTATTCTCATAGGATTTGGCTTAAGGAGGGAATAACATACACATTCAATTGGGTATGGAAATCTGTCTTACCCTACAGGAAAATAGGGGGAGAAGGGGACAAGAGAGCAGGGGATGATAGAGAGGAGGGCAGATTGGGAAAGGGGTAATCAGAAGAAATACTTCTGAGGAGGGACAGGGTCAAAAGAAAGAATAGAATAAATGGGAGGGCAGGATAGGATTAAGGGAAATAGAGTTAGTTTTTCACAACATGTCTACTGAAGTGTTTTGCATAACTGCACATGTACAACCTATATTGAGTTGCTTGCCTTTTCAATGAGGGTGGGTAGGGAGGAAGAGAGAAAATTTGAAACCTAAAGTTTTAAAAACATATGTTTAAAAAAATTTTCACATGCTACTGGGAAATAAGAAATACAGGAAATGGGGTACAGAAGTCTATCCTGTCCTACAGGAAAATAGAAGGGGAAGGGGATAAGAGAAGGGGAGAAAGATAGAAGAGAGGACAGACTAGGGGAAGGGTATATTCAGAATGCATGCCATCTTGGGGTGGGAGGAGGGGGGAGATGGGGTATAAATTTGGAATTCAAAAACTTGTGGGAGTGAATATTGAAAGCTAAAAATAAATTTATATTAAAAAATAAATCTATAACCTTATAAAAAAAAAGAATTACCTCAGTCTCTTAGTAAACATGTGAGTGGGAAGGGTGCTGCTAGTGCTTCCCACAGGTAACCTGATTAAACGACCCAAAAATGTGGAAAGTAAAACTGCTCAATAATAATGAGTTACAGATGTTTTTGGGATGTCATTGGCTTAGTGATCAATCATTCTCTTTAAATTTTCTTGATTTGGAAAACTTACTGCAGAGTTTGTTTTCACATTGGCCAGGGCAGTCTCCACATGGGATCCCCTTCTTATAAGGTGTAGTAAAAGTTGCAGGATTATTTCCCCTAGAAAATCAAATAACTAGAATGATTTAGTCCCAGTCATGTCTAAGGGTTACTCATTGTTGGCAGAAAATGCCTTCTATCCTAAAGAGAAAAATCCACATAATCATATGAGCAATCTTTCATATATAATGTGGATGTTAAAATTCACAAAATCTTGCAGAGTGAGATTTCTCCATTTTTTTTAATGTGACCCACAAACACTATTATATGTGACTTGGTTTGAGTTTATGTTTTAATTTGATGCTCAGGTTTCCATTCTCTCCTTCAAAACACATTTGCAAATTATGGAATCCTAGGTACAAGGTGATATTTACTATCGATTCGACAAGAAAGCCAAACAAACCCACAGCACATTATAGTCTCTACAGTACTTCATTTAGCTGTTCACAATGGAAAGAAGATGACTGTTTTGAAACTGAGACACTTTTGTAAGGTGATTTGATATACAGTGGAACATGGGTAGCTCTACTTCTTTGTATAGATAGCTTGTACTTATAGGCAGAAAAGTTGCCTTTGTGGAATGAATTAAGGGGAACTGCTTCCCCTGAAATAGTTAACTGAAGGAGAAGTTTGTTTCAAATATCTCTGATAAGGATTTTTAATCCAAGACATAGAGACAATTAACATGTGTGTATAAAAGTAAAAGCCATTTCCAAATAAATAAGTGATGAAAGGATATGAACAGGCCTTAGATGAAGTATTTGAACTACCAATTACCATATGAAAGAATGCTTCAAATCACAAGTCATATCAAAATAGGCATACTAGGCAAAAAAGGCATATCAAAATAATCCTGAGATTTTACCTCAGACCTAGTAAATCAGCAAAGATTAAAAAAAAAGAGTGGAAATACAGGCACACAAATGCATTGCTGTTGGGGTTGTGAATTTGTATAACCATTCTGGAAAGCAATTAAGAATTATGCAAATAAAATAGTTAAAATCATGGAGGGATGGGGAACCTGCAGTCTCAAGGCCACATGTGGCCCTCTAGATCCTCAAGTGTTGCCCTTTTACTGAATCCAAACTTCACAGAACAAATCTCCTTAATAGATAGATTTGTTTTGTAAAACTTGGACTCAGTCAAAAGGCTGTATCCAAGGACCTAGAAGGCCACATGTGGCTTTGAGGCTTTAGGTTCCCCTGCCCTGGTTGGTGGAGAGATTCAGATGCTAGACATATATTCCAAGGAAGTAATTTACAATTTGAAAAGTTCAACATATACCAAAATATGTATAGCAGAACTTTTTGTATCAGCAAAGATATGGAAACAAAGTAGACACTCAGTTATCAAAGAATGGCAAAACAAATTATAGTATATGAACGTGATGTAATACTACTTTGCTATATGAAACAATAATTATGAATACAGAGAATCATGGAAAAATTTACACAAGGACAGATATAAAATAAAGTGAGCCAAGAAAATAATATATCCAATGAATATAACAATGTAAGTGATAAATACAACAATAACAACCACAAAATAATACAAACTGAATATTATAAAAAGTATAAAAAATCTCTAGTGAAGAGATATGAAAAAAAATCATTCTTTGCAGTACACAAATGTGTAGTACTGTATATAACATCTGCATTTTTATGTGTTGATTGTTTTTGGTGAGTTTCACCTTTTTCTTTGTCTTTGTGGGAGAGAGCAAAGGAAATAGGGAGACAGTAGTATCAAACTCAGATAGAAGCAGATCTCTGTTGGCTTCATATTGACTAGGAAAACTACAAATTAATGTTAATATTTTATTGTATTTTTTATTTTTTAGATATTTCCCAACTACATTTTAATCTGACAATGGAAAGGGACCTTGAATTTTATATCTCTGAATTCAAAGCAATGTAAAAACAAAAGATAGCAATAAAAATACTTTTTCAAAAGAAAAAAAAATACTTCTCCTGACCAATACCCTTTCCAGGATTCTTAATCTTTTCTTACTCTTTTGATTCAAGCTTTGAAGCCCCTTGTTAAAATGAAAATAAGGCAATTTGTTATCTGTAAAGCTATTGTAAGCCCTAATACCTAAAATAATGATCCTCATACTATGCTTAAGTTCAATGTGGGGTGAGAATGGTTTATGGCATGAAATCCACATGTTTTTTGAGTTGGTAGGGACAACATGATGACCTAGAAGATTAGGTGGACAAATGGTGAGTGTAGCAGTGGTACAAGAGATGGAAGGATACAGAAAACCGATCTTGCGCACTTCATAATTTTTCACCCTAGGGTCAATATTCCCCAAAGCAAATGGAGAGAGCAGAAATTACCCTTGGATTGACTTTCTTTTGTAAATTTGTTCTATTCACAGAAGTAACAAGAGTTTCTTGCAAATCAGTAAACTCTAATTCCAGAACTTGTATTATAGTTAGCTCAGACTATTTAGACAATGCAGCTGATGCCTCCTTCTGTTTGGCCATGGAAACATATAATCAGATAGAATAAAACATATTGGTCAATCAGAGGCCTGATAGTATGTTGTAATAGAAGATCTTCTAGTCAGGATCTTTTATATGTGTCTGGCTGAGATTCTTCAGAAAAGAAGACACTGTCAGGAAGTAAGGTGGATATTAGGAGGTACAAGGGGAAAGTGAAGAAAGAAGAGGGTCTTGTTCTACAGACCATGAATATACCTAATTGCTTATTAGTAGCCTAAATCATGTGCATATATAGATGTCTTGATATGGCTCCCGTTTGTCTTTCTGTACTACAAAACTAAAAGAAAAGCAACAGTTATGATGATGTCATTAATATTATTATTATTACTATTAATAATAGTAATTTCTGGGAATTAGTGTTTTCTGTATTTAGGACCTGGGGACCTGAGTTCAAATCTAAGCTTTGAGATTTTCAGGAAGTTACTAACTTCTCTATTCCTTGGTATCATTGACAGGAAAATGATTAAACATGAAAAGACAATCCCTAAGGTTCAATCCGTTCCCAGAAATATGAACCTATTTAAGGGTAAATTTAATAGCCAAGAAGTAAAAGAATCATGATTAAGCATCCTGGGAAGTCTATTTGTTATCTGTTGAATCATCAATGCATGCTTTACAAAAATAACCTCCTACCCTGAAAAGAAATGTTAATTTGAATTTCACTTTTGCAATAATTAAAAGGGTAAATTGTGATGCTTTAGATGGATAAACTGTTAAGAACTTCTAAGTATAAATTTATACATACCCATGACAATAGTGGCATGTATAGAAGTATTTAAATATCTGTTGATTGGGGCAATGAGCAACACCACAGCCAATCATATAAGACGTGGACCAAACAGTCTGAAAGGAAAAAAAAAAAAGCAATGTGGTTATCAAATTTAAGTACATTTCTAAATACATTTTTTTAAAAGCATGAATTCTAACATGCCAGTGTTTTTTTTAAAAAAATCATTTTGAGTCTTCAGGTGCTTTAAAAATAGCCTATATGAGAAAGTCATGAAAATTGGCCTTTGCTCATATTCTCAGGCCTTGTAATCCATCTACCTTTAACCAAAGGAAATCAAACAGAAGGAAAGAAAACAACTTGGAAGCCAACAAAGAATTAGATGATTCATTTCTTTAAAATTTTCTTTTTTATTTTTATGGGAATTTGATGGACCTGCATATTTTTTTTTTGGTGAGGCAATTGGGGTTAAGTGACTTGCCCAGGGTCACACAGCTAATAAGTGTCAAGTGTCTGCTTTGAGACCAGATTTGAACTCAGGTTCTCCTGACTCCAGAGCCAGTGCTCTGTCCACTGTGCCACCTAGCTGACCTATGGAACTGTATTTCAAAATTTTGGGAAGATAGTGCCTGATTTTCTGCCTGGACAATTATTAGGAAACAGAGTAAACCACATATGTTAAAGCTCACTGCACTCAAAACTCCAGTCCCTTTTTGTTGATTGACAAGGTGACGGTTCTTGAGAGTAACTGTCACTGAATAAGCACACATTTCACTCAATAGAGAAACATCTTTAATGACAACTATCCAGCATGTAGACTATCAGGTATATTTCTTTCTCAGTAATGAACACAATAACTTATTAATAATTAGATTTCTATAAATCAAGAATCTAATCTTTAACAATAACACCCAAGCATCCCTGAAAAGGCAATGGAAATAGGTTATCAGTTAATACTCATCCTGGACCCAGCAGACCAACCATACTGTCATCAAAGAAGAGTAAAGATAGGAAGAGAGCTGATATTCTGCTGAGAAGTAGAAGACAAGAAGTACTAGCCACTCACTTCTCTTCCTATACCCAGTAGGTAATATTAAAGGAGTCCAAACTGGTTTCCACAGAACATTCCCTCTTCCATTCAGCCATATGACTTGTGTTGGGGCCTACTTTTCCAAGGAAATGTTTTATATCTTCTTGTATTTTTTTTGACATTTTTGGTTTTGTTTGATTGGTTCTTGATGCCCCATGGAGTCATTAGCTTCCACCCACCTGCCAATTCTAAATTTTTAGGAGTAATTTTCTTTGGTTAGCTTCTTTACCTCATTTTCTATTTGGTCAATTCTACGTTTTAAGGACTTATTTTCTTCAGTAAATTTTTGTACATCTTTTTCCATTTTTTATGCTTCCTTTATCAAGCTGTTGATTCTTTTTTCATGATTCTCTTGCATCATTCTCATTTCTTTTCCCAATTTTTCTTCCTCCTTATTTGATTTCCAAAGTTCTTTCTGAGCTCTTCTAGGAGTTCTTTTTGGGCCTGAAGTCAATTCTCATTTTTTTTGAGGCTTTGAATAAAGGAGTTTTCATGTTGTTGCCCTCCTCTGAATTCGTGTTTTGATCTATAGTCATTTATCTATAATATATATATATATACATGCATACATACATACATACATACATATACACACACATACACACACATATAGTATATATGTATGTATATGTATAATATATGTGTGTGTATATATATGTATGTATATGTATGTATATGTGTATATGTGTGTGTATATATATGTACATCTATATCTATATCTATATCTATATCTATATCTATATCTATATCTATATCTATATCTATATCTATATCTATATCTATATCTATATCTATATCTATATCTATATCTATATCTATATCTATCTATATCTATATCTATATCTATATCTATATCTATATCTGTATATCTATCTATATCTATATCTATCTATCTATCTATCTATCTATCTAGTTATATGTAGTCAAGTTCTTTTTTTGTTTGTTTGTTTGTGTTTTTTTGGTCATTTTCCTCAGCCTATTCAATTTATTTTTAAAGTTGAGCTCTGCTCCTGGGGTGGAAGGGGCGCTGTCCCAAGTTTTTTGTGCCAGGGACTTCAGGCTCTGGCTGATAATCTACTGTTTTGTAAATGCCTCAGGGGACCTTGCTACCCACCCGAAGCATTGCTGGGGGAAGTCTGGAAATGCAGAGAGCCTTTCCTAGTTTCTCTAATTGCTAGTGCTTTTCTCTGTATGATTCCCTTCAATCGACTTCAAATGAATGTTTTACATATGTTTTACATGTTCAATGTGCTTTCCCCATTAGAAGGCAGAATCTTTGATGGCAGTGATAAAGTTCACTTTTTCTTTGTGTTTAGTACAAAGCCTGGCACATAGTAAATGGCTGTTAATTGCATTATTGGTGGCCTTTTTTGGTCACTTTACTCTCTCAAATTAACCTGCTTTGTTTTCTTAAATCAACAAACGCTAAATACTTTGGACTTGCCAAACACTGTATTACGTACTAGGATAAATAGAAAGTTAAATAAGATAACCTTTAAGACTGGTTAAGACAGAGACACTAATGATTATAATATAAAATAGAAAAAAATGAGAATTCACAATACAAGTGCAACATTTAATGCAAAATGAAGGTACCATTATGTAAACAGTCCATTTGTTGCCAATTTGAATTGGTTGGGTCCCCAAAGGGCAGCTACTACTACTCTCAGATAACATGGTAAAGACAATTAATACAGAGCCTCCTACTAAGAAGCTGGTTTATTCCTTCCCACAAATACACACAGCAGCCATGGGAAGAGTAGGCTTAAACTTTGACCATAACAGTAGGGAGGCACACATATAAGAAATATGTTTGACAAGGTGTAACTCACATCACCTGCTCTGCAAGTCCTTCTCTCTATGTAGAGACCTCCAGCAGAATGCTTGTTGGTGTTATTTGTTCATCCTTTGTTTCAAAGAGGACCAATGACTTCACAAGCATGCTGTCCTGACTTTTGAATTAGATTTGAGCCCGGCAGAGCTGTGCAAATTCATCAACCTCACACTCTCTCCTCCAGAGTCATCAGAGTTCAGTGGCAAGACCAGTCTCTCTGTTTTGAGAATTTAGATAACTTTCTTTCAAATACATGTTCTGAGATAATTGGCTTGGAGGCAGAGTAATGATTATTGAATTTAGGGTATTGTGGTCCATCAGATTATATTTGCACATGATTTCTCTTAGAGTCTTAAAGATTATAAATATCAAAGTTAGAAATCGTGGTATTGGGGACTATGGGGAGGTTACAACTACTGAGTTCATATGTAAGAAAAATGTGAACTTTTTGAATTTTTAACTCAGAAAATATTGATGAATCAATTATCGTTAGGTGACTATGATTTGAGGAATTGGAAGATATGAGAAGCTTTGAAAAGGATCTTTAGGAAAAGATAGAAGGAAAAAGCAGGAATAACAAACTAAGAGCAGAAGGATTTGTAAGAAGCAGCAAACAGAAGAGTTAGAAGACTTCCTGGTGAGATGTCTCACTCTTTAGCTGCTTTACTGAGAACGTGCTGATTAGAAAAGAGGCCTGGCTTTGCCAAGGATTTGCTGAGTGGAAGAGAGTCTTTGTTTTGTGGATTGTCCGGTGAAAGGCTTAAGTAGCTCCCAGAAGCTCATTGGAAAGGTATTGATTTCCCTTGCTATGTGAAGAGCTATAAAAGTTTCTTATTTTAAGGAGCACTTACAGCCTGAGGGAGGCGAACCTTCTAAGAGGTGTCTATGATGCCTTCTAACTGTCCCCATTGCTTTGGGAAGGAAAAACAGAGTGGGGAAAGCTAGGCATTATACCTGTAATTTGCTGTGAAGAGAGACTTAGAGAATTAGGGAAAAATAAAGCAGAATCCTCTGCTGCTTGCAGATCTAAGGAGCTTAGCACTTCTCTGTCTAAAGGACCTATTTATCATTGGAAATAAGTAGCTATTTTTTTTTCTCCCAGCATCTTACTAAAGGCAGTTACAAGTGAAAAGAGACTGTTATTTCTTCATGAATTTGCAATAAGAGTGGTCTTCTCTACCCACAGAGAAATTAGGACTACAAGGGAAGACCTTAGCAAAGATGCTTTGTTTGATGCAGATTGTTCTTGAACAGACCAAGGGCATTGAAGCCTAGATTCAGGAGTTAAGAGTTTTCCTAGGCACATGGATTTCCCTACTTATTTAAATTCCTGTTAGGTTTCTGTAAATTTATGTCAACTCTCCCGTGGACAATCTGTGCATTGGAGAGAGAGCATGACCCAGGTGTATTACTGGATTGTTATTTTGTGATTCCTGTTTTTCCCTTTTATTGAATAAATTTTATGATTACCATTTCTTTTATCATATTGTTTAGTGAGTATTTGAAGATGAATCAAACATGACATGGTGACAGATTTTGTGTAAATAGGAAGCACACAGAATAGTAGTAGAGAATAGTAGGAGTATATTTCTCCTGTACCAAAGTCACCCTTCAGGTTGCAAGTGTACAGTTGATAGTAATAACTATGTGTTGGAGTCTTGTGGTCATCCTCTCTATCTGGTGTAGGATGGAGGGACTCATAACTGCTTATATAAGGACCAGTTGTGGTGAGTGAGCCAATGCAGAGAGAGAGAAAGAATATAACTATGTGAGTTCCACTGCCCACATGGACAGATCCAAAGCCGTGTCCATGTTATGTAATTTTGAAGAAAGAAAATATAATTTCTGACTTGAGAGAATGAAATCATAAAGGAAGAAACATTTGATATGGGTCGTGAAGAATGAATAGGATTTAAACAGGCATAGGTAAGAGGACATGCCACATATAAGACATTATGTGAGCAAAACCATAGAGGCGAGAAAGTATGGAAAATATCCAGGATATATTGAGTAATATAATACCTCTCCAAAGTTACCAGTGATCTCATAGTCACCACATCCAATGGCCTTTTCTCCATTCTCTTTCTCCTCAGTCTCTCTGGAGCATTTGACACTGTTAATCACCATCTCCTCCTTGATATTCTATTCTCTGGATTTTCAGGATGCTACTGTTTTCTGGTTCTACTCTTGCCTATCTGACTGCACATTCTCAGTCTCCTTTGCTGGATTTCTATGAATTATATCACTGAAGAGTGTCCCATGAAAATAAACCACAGATTTCTGAAATACTGAAGTAAGTAGTGAAGTGATTGGAATATATTTCTACTTTATCCACTCTTGTTGTTCAGTAGTTTTCAGTAATGTCAAACTTTTGTGACCCTATTTAGGGTTTTCTTGGCAGAGATACTGGAGTGGTTTGCCATTTCCTTCTCCAACTCATTTTACAGATGAAGAAACTGAAGCAAACAGGCTCACACAGCTAGCTAGTAAACATCTGAGGCAAAATTTGAACTTGGGGAAAATGAATCTTCCTGATTCCAGGCCCGGTACTCTTATCTACTATGCCACTCAACTTCTCTTTATTCACTCTTATCCTTAGATAAATTAAGGATTCATCACTAATCTGTATAATATAGCAATGCACATCTTACTTGAGTATAGTGACCAACATTTGATTCTGGATTTATCGGTCCATATCCATAAGTGAAGTTTTTTGACTCATCATACCACATCTGGATTGCATCTGACCATGATATGGGAAGAGAGGCAAACAGCAAATTTTCTCCAAATAAAATGTCTGGAAGTATAGAAATGTCAGGGTCATACAATTTACAATTGGAAAAAAATGTAAGCTATTTGGGAGCAAGGCTGTCATTTAATTTTATCTAATCCCATGATTTGTACATATTAGGTCCCTAATATATCCTTTTGTGGTTTGATTTGAAACAGATCTACCATACTCTTTTTTTTTTCTTTTTTCTTATTTTGCAAATACTCTATCTTACTGATATTGAAAAAGTGACGTATGATATGATCACATCAGTTACATCACTGATTATTGGTTCAGTTCTCTGTTTTTAGTGGCTAATCTGCATGGGTTCCTTTGGGACAACCATGCAATACTCCAGTTTTGTAGTTGATAGCCCAAAGGACCCAATTCACCGTACAAATATAATTGTATGTATACACACACACACGCACACACATATATGTACATGTATGTGTATATGAAATCTAGAAACATAAACATACAATAGGAAATAGAACATATTATGGTTAATATATTATCACACAAAATGTTATATAAACTATATTATACATAAAATACAAGTGAGTTATATAAATACATAAGATATATAAAGATATTAATTACATAAAAATTATATTTTTATAATATATTAATATATTCTATAACATTAAATATTTAGAAATTGGAATTAGAGAAAGTAGATCTACATGACAAAATAAGAAATGTTAGAGACAACTAAAGCAACCAATCATATCATCTAAGATCTAAATCTGGAAAGGATTTCAGATATCACCTAGGTCAACTTATTCATTTTTATAGATAATGAAATTGAAGACTGGACAAATTAAGTGGTTTGCCTGAAGTCACTCAGGTGATATGTAAGAGAGTATAGATTGAAACTCAGGTTCTCTCACTCCAAGTTCAGTACTCTTTCCTCAGTACCATACTGTCCTTGCTGAATTGCTAGACCTGGGACTTGGTGAGACTCTCTCTCTCTCTCTCTCTCTCTCTCTCTCTCTCTCTCTCTCTCTCTCTCTCTCTCTCTCTCCATCTCTTTCTGTTCTCTATCTCTCTGTCTTTCTAGCCTCTGAGTATCTGTGTGCCTTATCTTGAGTTGAACTAAAGTCCACTTTGGTATGGTGTTAAGGGAAAGCATCATTACTGTATTAGAACTTTCACGTTACGTGAGTGAACCTAGTCATCACATACCTTGAAAACATATATCAACTGAATTCTCTAAAAATATTTTTTCAACTGCGTTTATCATTATTATGATGATTTTATTAAGATCATTATTCTACTGTTGTTCTTATCAATTACAGTGAATAGAGAGTATGCTTTTATGCTGCTTACCTACCTAAGCATAAATTGTCCTACTTAGTTTTATTTGTATGTGAATTCTTTGAAAGAAGGAACTACTCAAGTTTTGCCAATAGTGCCCAGCAGAGTATCTGATATCTAGTAGGGTATATCTGACATACAGTAGAGATTTAGTAAATGTATACTGAATTTCATTTACTTTCAGAAAGAAAGTTGAAAAAAAAACTGGCTGTGATTGCAGAGAACGAGCATGTGCTTCTGATATATTTCTACTGTATGGCTTTTTGGAAAAAGCCAAAGAATGACAGGTAAAACTTGCCAACTCAACTTCTATGTAGTCATAGAAGAACAGTAATTATCTCTTAATGGCATGTAAATGCCAGGAGGATAATTTGTGTATTTAGAAAAGGTGGCATCTGCCAAAATCCTCTTGGGACATAATCCTTTTATAAAATAGATCCATTTCAACTTACTCAGCCAACATTAGCAGAATAGTCTAAGACTGTCAATTGTATGTATAATATTTCATGTAAATAATATTTATTTATTTGTTTATTTGTTTGTTTACTGGTGACAAAAATGAAATAACTCTGAAGAATATCTTTAGGGCCTAATTGCACGTGTAGTATGAAAAGTACTGCTAAATTGCTAGACCTTGAAGTTGATGAGAATCCCTTTAGAAAAGCTATAAATGATATACCTACTTGTAATTATCCTCTTGACTTGGGGACTATGGTCCTTCTCACACACCTTTGACCAATTTCTGGCATTTTGTGCAGCATTTTCATTCCATTCCTTAAGTTGAAGAATAATAATCTGTTACATAATGTTGTAACTAGCTTATAACATGTTAGCTTGATAATTAATTTCAACTTATCATATTCATTAATTCTAAGCCATGAAATATTCTCATAGTTTTGGAACAGCTAAAAAAATAATGGTTGGTGCTAAATCTTTCCAAAACAATACTTTAAGCAACATTTGGGGGAACTGAGCAATAATTTTAACATGCCCAAGCTGCTCCCCCATGCAAAACCCCTTTTTATTTTTAAACATAGATTTTCTCTGTGTAATGCTATATGTTTGCATTTTTACAATTCCACAATCTCTATGGAATCAAAGTTATAGGTAACCTGAGATCAAATAGGAAGATATATGGTGAAATATAAGATCTCATCAGTGATAAATTATATGCAAGAAATAGCTAAGGATATAGAAATGTATGATCAGAAAAAGAGGTGGAACAGTCATATGCTGAGACAGAAGGACAGCATGACATATTAAAAGTCTTACATGAATGTCTCTTCTGTGGAGAGATCTATGAAAGAACTTGGAGAAGCATTACACATGTGTGTTATAGATCTAAATATAATATTCTATGATTCTATGAACGTGGGTTTAATTTTTGACTCTGCTATTAACTAGCTACAAGCACTATCACTTCTGTAGATCTGTTTTCTTTTTTATTGGACCTGTTATTATACTGAGGTACGGACTTCTGAATGAAAAAATCTCCCTCTACCAATACAAAATGGTAGCTATTCTTCAATTTATAGTCTGAGGGAGTTGCTTCAGACACTGAGAGGCTTAGTAACTTACACAGGGTCTCATCTCACCATCTATACGGCAGAGGTGGGATTCAAGTCATCATTTTCTTGACTCTAAAGCCTGTTCTCTATTCATTGAAACATATTGTGTCTCTGTTTACATTTCCATCAACTTAGTAATCTTTATTGTACCTTCCAGATGAAATAATTCTAACAACTCCCAAGGATTAAGCTTCCTAATTTGATAAGTTAATGTCTCTGTAATTTCAGTGATACAAGGATTCCCTCCATTAATGTAGGTTGCAATCCATCCTTACCTACTTATCTTGTGAGATTCTTGTCCAAGCTCTCCCATAGAACCTCCAGAGGAGTTCCACATAATTTATATCTTCCTAAAATAATGTAATATCAATGCAACATATTCCCAAAAGAGATCTGAGTATTCCCTTTGCCAGGTAACTAAAAGACCTATCAAAATGTGTTTTAGAACAAGAAACAGACATCCTTAAACTAAAATTATGGTCATATACTCCCATCTAGTGGTAAGTTGGGTGAATTACTAAAAAGTACCCATCTCATTTTATATTTAATATTATTTCATTATCCTGTTTTGTTTTTAAACCGGTTAGTACAGCACAGTATGGTCCAGGTAATATGGCTGCTTAGGACACAATGATAAGAAAATAAAAATGAAGGAATCTATTCCTATGTGAACCATTCAATTTCATACGGATAAAATTATATCCCATGGCCATTTGAAATTTACAAATAAATATAGTTATAGAAAATACATACTTAAAAAGAAATATGTCCCTGCTATTGGAGAAGCAACTCAAAGCATGAAAGGATCTGCTATTGATTTATTGTTTTAATGTTTTCCTAACTGCTCTGGGCCAAGAGCAAAGGGGTCTTAGTTGTTGTCCCTGTACAGTCACTAACTAGCCATATGACCTAGAAAGAGTCATTTCTTCAGTACCCCTGACTTCAGTATCCTCAACTATGAAATGAGAGTATCAGTATAGATCATCCATAATTCTCCTTCCAACTCTAAAATTTGTATAAAGCCATTTACACTGCCTTATCTCGTGTACCATGGACTAACTGCATCCATTTGCAAAATGATTTTATAACTGCAGTCAATTTAGAAAACCCTCAAGCATTCCTAAACTATATCTTAGTCCCAAACCAGCTCTTAATCTGGAGTCTTTTGGGATTAGTGATAATCAATCTGAATATGACCATCATGATGATCTTCCTAAAATGTTTTTTTTCCTCATGTTACTTTCATGTCCAAGAACTTCCTATTTTCCGTTGGATCAAGTCCAGTTTTCTCATCTTGGCATTCAAGGGTCTTTATAATTTTGACTCATCCTAATTTTGTAGTTTTGTTCTTCAATATGAACCATCCATTCTAGTGGGGCTATTTTCCCCACTGTCCTCTACACACACCTTTCTTTTTTCTATCTTCTAACGTGAAAAATTTTATTCTCTTTGTCTTTACTTATTCAAATACTTCTTTCAGGCTTATCTCATGTTCTGACTCTTTTATGAATTTTCTGGACAACTATGCCTATATACACATATATTTATAACATATACATATGATTTTATGTATGTGAATTATGTGTGTCAGGAGGCAGTTAGGTGGCTCAGTGTATAGAGTTTGAAGCCTGGAGTCAGAAAGACCCGAGTTCAAATGTGACTTTAGACACTTACTAGCTATGTGACTCTTGGCAAGTCACTTAATTTCTGTTTGCCTTAGTCTTTCACAAGTGAAGGAACTGGTAAATCACTACAGTATCTTTACTAAGAAAACTCCATGGACAATATGGTCTATGGAGTCTTGAAGAGTCAGACACGACTGAATGACTGAACGATTATGTATGTGTACACGTATACATACATATGCATAATTTTCATATATGTGTATATAAATAGTGAATGGAGACACAGAGGCTAACAGATCAGGTAGCTGAAGAAGTGAAAAATAGCAGAAGTAATTCATGATTCCTTGACCTGTGATACTAAGGCATATATAAAAACATGAATAATAACTAGTAAAAATAAAGAAATCTTTTGATTTCCAGGCTATATCCAAGCTATAACAATGAAACTGCCCAGACATCCAAACATGACAAATATTGCACTTTTGGTGATTAATTTCAACTACAAGAACAAAAACACTACCAGAAGTAACCTAAAAAGTATGGCTAATGACTATGAAGGTTTGGGCAAAAAAATGAAGACTAAGAATGTGGGTTACATTTTCTTCTCTTGAAGACAAGGAATGCCAAAGGGAAAACTTAGTTTGGACTGATTGTCTCACGTGCATTTGTCTCATCTTTCCTGAAAGATGCTAACTGCCTAAGGATAGGACATGTATTTTTATATTATTGTGTAAATCAATAGACAAACAGTTATTAATCAAATAATATTTGCAAGAAACAGAACTAATTACAAAGGAAACAATTTAAAAATGGAATGCTGTGGGGTGTGGGCAGGAGGCACATGCACAACTATAAGTGCATGGAGAATACAAACATGGCCAATTTTTTTTGAGGAAAGAATTAGTATATGCGGTGATCAGGAAAGATTTACCATATATGAGTGTGTTAAAGCAGAATTTTGAAAGAAACTGATCACCTAAAGAGGCAGAAGTGATGAGAAAATGCATTTCAGAATTGAGGAGGTAGTGAATATAAAGGTGTGGAACTTGAGATGGAGTGACATGTGTGAGGTACAACAAGAAGGTGAGTTTGACTCAACCAGACCCTCACTGTAGCAAGACAATTCTTTTATATCTCCCAAATCAGATCTGTTGTCGCTTACAATGTTCCAGACCTTTTCATCTCTCTCCAAGTCTTCCATGGCAACTCTCCTCCCAGTCTCAACCCCCACAAAGTTGTGGACCTTGAGGATCTCATATTTCATTTTTAAAAAATGAAACCATTTACTGAATGCTCTCTTTTGCCCTCCTCTTCACCTTATTACTTAGAGATTTTCTCCCATTATCTGCTTCCTTAGGGATATCTCAGATGAAGATTTGACAAAGCAAATCCCTGTATTACGAACACCCTTAATCCCATTCCATCATCTTCTCCATCATATTACTTCGTCTATTATCTTCCTTCTCTAATTTTCAGCTTATTCTGTCACATTCTTTCCTGCTGTCTGCAAATGCACTTGTTTCTCCTATTCTTTTAACAAATGCTCACTTTAGCCATCTGTGCTAGCTGCTTTCCTATATCTTTCCTTTTCTTCTTTAGAAAGCCACCTATACTCACTGCTTCCAATTCCTTTCCTCTCATTCCATTAAAATCTTAAATCTCCTTTTCACCCTCATCTATCAACTGAAACTTCTGTCTTCAAAGTTATCAGTGATCTATCAATTGACCAATCTAATAGCTTTTTCTCAGGCCTCATCCTTTTTTGACTCCTTTGCAACTTTTGACTCACTCTGTAACCTACTCCTGCTAAATACTCTTTCCTCTAGGTTTTCATGACACTTCTCTCTCTTTGTTTTCCTCCTTTATATCTGACCTCTTTTTTTAGTTTTTTTTTTTTTCCTAAATCTTCATCTAGGTCAGAACCACTCACTCTTTTTTGCTCAGTAGTCTTTCTTCATTCCTCTTCTTTTCTCTCTCTGGACTATCTCTCTTGTTGATTTCATTAGCTGCTATGAATTCAATTATTATCTCTATGCAAATGATTCTCAGATATTTATGTCTAACCCTAACTTCTAGTTTGCACCACCAACTGCCTTTCATATATCTTCATTTGGATACTCCACAGGTATAACTCAACATGTCCAAAAGGAAAGTCATTATTTTCACACCAATGCTCTCCTCTTCCAAACTTGCCTAACATTTTTGATGTGATCATAGTCCCAGTCACCTTAGTTTTCAACTTTGGTGTCATCTTCAATGATTCTCTTTCACTCATCCCAGATAAAACAGTCTGTTGCCAAGTCTTGTCATTTTTACTATCACATTTTCTCTAATATTTTTCCTCTCTATTCAATCAGAATCATCCTCAAACATGGCACAAATTTCGCATCATCTCATGCATGTACTATTGCAATATCTTTCTGGTTGTTTTCATCTGCGTTCCAATTTTAATCTATTATTCATTCATCTGTGGGAATGATTTTCTTAATTTGAAAGTCTGTGTCACACTCCCCCCTCCCCCAATAAACTCCAGTGCCTCCCAATTACCTCCAAGATTAAATATGAAATTTCCTGGCAGTTAAAATCATTCGTAAGCTAACACTTTCTCACCTTTAGAATCTTCTTTAACTCTGCTCCCTCTCTGTATCCTGTGATTCAGCAATTTTGATCTTGTTATTCTGTGCGTTTCATCATCTGACTGTGCCTTTTCCCTGGCTCTGCCACTTGGCTAAAATGTCCCTTCTTTTCAACTTTTCTTGCTGCTTTAATTCATTTAAGACTCAATCCAAAGTATATCTTTCACAGGAGACCTTTCCCCTCTTTGTCAATACCCCCAACACCCTGCAAATGATTTCCTTCTGACATGACCTCCATTTTTTATTGTATATATCTCATATATACTTGTTCACATCCTGCCTTTCTCATTAGAATGTGAGCCCTTGGAGAGGAGAGCCCCACTTTCTGAGCTTTCTTTTCATCTCTAGTAGAGACATTTGTCCATAGTAAACAGTTAATAAATGCTTTTGAAGAGTAATGTATAATGAGGAGAAATATATAATAAGCCTGGGCAGATACAGAAAAGACAGGTTGTAAAAAGCTTTAAATTAAGCTAAACTAAATTAAAACTTTAAATTAAACTAAACTAAAATATTAGTTTGTACGCTAGACATAATAGGGAAGCTCCTTCAAATTTTAGCTCAAGTATCATCTTAAACATGAAATCTTTCCAGTTTGCCTACCTGCTACTGGTTCCTCCTCTTCCCCATTATTTTTTTTTTGGGAGGGGAATCAGAGTTAAGTGACTTATCCAGGGTCACACAGCTAGTAAATGTCTGAGGCCAGATTTGGACTCAGGTCCTCCTCAGTTACGGCACTGCCGAGCTGCCCCCTCCTTCATTATATTTAATTATTTTAAATTTTGCAAACATTTTGCATTTTTTTTGTTTCATAATTGGTGTCTTCATCAGTAGAATGTAAGCTCCCTGAGGATAAAAGCTATTTTAATTAGTCTTTGAATCTTTACCATATAGCACATTTACTGATGAACAGAAGACATTTAATAATGATGTACTGATTTATCAATTGTTGAGCAAAGGAGTAACATAATTAAACTGTGCTTTAGGGAAAAAATATGTTGACAAGTTGTCTATCTGTGACAGCCCCCCACATGGCTGGGAGAATAATTAGTAATTGTTTTTTTTAAATTAGTTTTTTAATTAGTACCTATTGACTGGATTGAATTTTGTTTTGTATTGAATTTTGTTCTGTATTACTTTTGGTAAAACAAAGTTCTGAGCATCTCTGGGAATGTAGGTTTTAGGCCAAAGATTTACCACACTCTAGCTTGGTCTGCCTCACCCAGTTCTCCTCTCTGTTATGATGAGAAGGAACTCCTAGATCTTCCTCAGTTCTGATTTTCTTTCTCAGTGTAATTAGCCAGAACTTCAAGGCAATTCCTATGCCCAATGCATCATATTTCCTGCTGCTGGAAGAGAAGAATCTGTGGTTAATCAACTTGCAAGTTCTTCCAGAGTATTTTCTTTTTTTCTTTATTCTTTTGGAATTTTATTTACTCATAAACAGGTGAGATAGGACATGGCCATTTTTGTTTAAGAACTCTGAAAGATACATGCCTTTTGCTGCTTATGCTCACACAGTCTGTATAAGTGACTGGGTTAGGATCCAAGTCTCATGTGCCTGGGGCCAGGAACCTTAGTTAGCAGATTCTTACTGATGGAGAAGGGTTACACTTCACTTACTTTATAGTTCGTATCTTACCATTTTCAGCATGTTGCAGGCTTGGGGAATTACTCTCCTCCTGAGGGCGTTGTGTTTGTTAACAATTTCTTCCTGGACATTCGCAGATTTAGTCAAAACTGTTTCATATGGGACTATCGCTGTTTCACCCTGTTCCAAGAAAGGTATTTCAGCTTTAGAATTTTTTAAATTGTTATGTTTAAATATGATAATGTTGAAAAAAATTACTAAGAAGCTGTGCAAGTGTTCATACTGAAAGGAAATGTTCTTCTAAGATATACAATACTACCGAATGCCTTATTTCTCTCTTTCTTTGTATACACATATATTTATATATGTGTATTACTATATGCCTATATATATCTAGATATACATATCTATCTATCTATCTATCTATCTATCTATGTTCATTGATAGTTGATCAGTTATTGAGCAGGAAAGTGACATAATCAGACTGGCTTGATTATGATCTTGATATGTGTATATGTATATATATATATGTCACAAGTATATATCATGGTAGATAAGAGACAGGCAACAAACAATATCCAAAGAATAGGACAGCAAAGATATTTTAATGAATAATACTTTATAGTAGCAGTTATAGAAAGTAGATGTTCATCTCTGTCAGAGATTTATAGGATCATGGATTTAGAGCTGGAAAGTACTTTAAAGGTCATTTAGTCTAACCTAACTCATTATACAAATAAAGAAAGTGAGCATCAGAGATGGACTATGACTTGCCCAAGACCACACAGATAAAGTGTGACAGAACTTAGATTTGAATGCAAGTCCTTTGACTCCAAATTCATCACTCTTTCTATTGCACCAGACTCCAGGGGTGGGGAGCCTGGGACCTCAAGGGCATATGTGGCACTCTAGGTCCTCAAGTGTTGTCCTTTAACTATTCCAAACTTCACAGAACAAATCCTTAAGGGGGGGGGGAGCAGAACACTAAATGGTTCTGGTTACTGAGATAAGTGGATATGTTAACTTTAAAGTTTTACCAACAACTTTGAGAAGATTTGGATATATTAATGAACTAACGCCAAGGTGGCACAGATAAGAGTTAGTCTATTCCCTTCAAAAAACCTATAAAAATGAGACCTTAAACTCCTGCCTTCAGAATACTCTTCTGTCTCCATTAGGTTTATGCTGCCTAGTGCTCCCAACTCTAATCTATGGCTGCATGAATGATTCTTTGTGCTTCTCCCCCTTCTCATCTATTTTCCTATGCTGCCTGCCTCACTTCAATACTCCACCCCTTCTCATGCTACTTGCCTCCATATCCTTTTCTCTATTTGTCCCAATATTTTCTGTGCCTGTTTGCCTCTTCCCCTTTTTTGTCTTATTAAAGTGTTTGTAGCCTCATTCCTCATTGCCAGCATAGTATTTCCTGGAAGGTATCCAAACACCTGGGCAGGCCTGTCCCATTTCATAATTTTATAAATTAATTGGCAATTCGGGATTTCTATAACAAGGAGATAAGTTATATAGGATTTTGTGAACTCAAAAGTCTCATTTATTTTATGCAATTGAGGAAGTTCTAGCTTTTCTATACTTTCTTTCAAGAAAATTGACAGTAAGCAAAGATCCATGAATCAGGTTACACTGAAACATATAAGTAGAGAAGTAATAAAACACATTTATTGGGACAAAATCAATTCTCACTCTCCTTGGTAACATTATTTTTCATAACGATCATAGATCTAGAAGTGCAAAGGATTTCAGATGCCATCTAGTCTAACCTCTTTTTTAAATGAAATTTAAGATTGTCCAAAGTCACCGAGGTTGTAAAGATTAGTGTTGAATCCAGTTCTTCTGACTCTAAAGCCAACACTTTCTCCCTGTACCATGTTAAGTCATAATGCTTATGTATATCTTTTGCTATCCATTGATTCATAAAAAAGTTAGCATTAGAAGGGCACTTAAAAAACAAGATATTTGCTGAATACCAGGGGCATATGGGCAGCTAGGTGGCATAGTGGATAGAACCCTGGGCCTGGAGTCAGGAAGACCTGAATTCAAATCTTACTAATTTATTAACTGAGTGACCCTAGGCAAGTCATTTAACCTTGTTGCCTTCATTTCCTCATCTGTGAAATGAGGTGGAAAAGAAAATGGTGAACCACTCCAGTATCTTTGCGAAAACACCACCACCACCACCACCACCAACAACAACAATAAAACAGCTGAAAAACAAACAAACAAATGGGTTCACAAAGAATTGGACATGACTGAAATGAATGAAGAATCAAAAAGGGCATAGATAGATTGGTATAGCTATTGCTGTATACTACATGCCTCTGGTCTCAGAAATCATTATGTGGGTCAGATGATTGATAAGTAGAGCAGAGGGAAAGAAAGAATCAAAGGTCAAAGAACAACCAATGTGATGTCTTATTATTAAGAGTCCTCACAATGACACAGATAGGCAATATGGTATTGTGAATAGTGTGCTAGGTGTGGAGTCAGAAGACCTAATTTCAGATAATTAAACATATGACTCCAGATGAGTCACCTAACCTCTCTTGAACTCCATTCCTTAGCTGTTATAAAGAGGCAATTGGAGTATATGACTTTTAATGCCTGTTCCAACTCTCAGTATAAAATCTATGCTTCTATAACCCTTCCTCCATCTCATCTTATGTTATGCCTGTTAGTAGACACCATGAATTGATGAAGTAGTGGAAAAAAGCCTTGGACTCATGAGTCAGAGGACCACAGTTCCAGTCTAGACCCACATATTAGATATGTGACCTTGAGCAATTTATTATATCTCTTTTTCTTCAGTATCTTCATGTGCAAAATGATGGGGGATGGGACTAGATGACCTTTGAAGTCTCTTCCCTTTCAAAAGTAAGTCTATGATGTTATGAATGCTTATGGACAGTAACAGATATATATATATATAAAATACATACACACACATATATACACACACATATATACATACACACACATATAGTAAGTGATATAGTATATATGTACATATATAAAATATAATTATATTTAATAGCAAACCATAAAATTGGTCCTTGCTAGAATTCTTAGATATTCTTTTTTTTATATTTTAAAAAGATTTCTTCCAGTGAATTAGAAGATCTTCTGTGATACTAAATATACAGAGAACATTTAACTGTGTATCCCCTTGGGTGCAATGATTCAGTAATGGTTATTTAGGAATTCAACAAAAGTTGTGGGGAGGAGATTCTAGGTAGATAGTTGAATGAAAAACTATAAGAATTCTGACATAGGAAAAACTTTATTGCTCAGATGCAGTGACCTTAGGCAAGAGGTTGGCCATTCCTCAAGGTCACCAAAGAACGGTCAATGCCCTTGACTCCCACTATCCTTTTGGAAAGGTAGGGGGTCTCACAGAAACATGTCACTGCATAGAGATCTTGGAGGAAACTCAGTTTCAGAGTGATTTGGAGTTAGCAGAAATGGTCAGGTACAGAAAGAACCTATGCAGAAGTGAGGCACTGCAATAATGAGTCAAGGATCACCCTGAAGAGGAAAAATGTTCCTCCATGACACTTATATCTAGAATCCTAGGGATAGGAGAGGGGATGATCCAGTTTTCTTCTTTGGTTGTCTTTTTCGGTTGAATATGAATATGTCATGATTGTTAGCCTAATTTGTGTAGTATGAAAGCCAATCAGGTAATATAAAATTGAGCTCTTACCTTTATAATTGAGACAGGCCAGAAAGCTGCAGCAACCAAACAGAAGAAGAGGTTTCTCAGGGCCATATCTGAAAAACAAATGAGTTTCTTTTTCATTGGGTCATAGGACTTAGAGCTAGAAGGGTCCTTAGAGAGTAGAGGAGAGCTGATTTTCCTAAGATAAAATACAGACTTTAGGGAGCAGAGTAAGGATTTGATCCTAAGTCTGCCGACTCCAAATCTACTGCATTCAAAGTCATTGTTTCATTTTCTCCTGTCTTTCTCACAACAACCTTTCCAAGAAGACAACCTTAAAATTTTCGTTTTCTTCTCAGTGAAGACAGGTGTAGAGATTTTTGAGGGGATCTCATAACAGAATCTTAATCAATTTTCAAATTACTTTCAACCTTTTGGGCACATAGTTCATTAAGTGGTACAGAACAGAATCAAAGAACAGTCAAAGGACAGAAGCCTCAGGTTATTAAAAATATCTTTCCTTCTCAAAAGGATTAATTAAAGTCAACTACCCAATTCTTAATTGTAGAGGAAGGGACTATTATGTGTGAATTGAGTACCTGAAATTTTCTACTTAAAGGCCAGGTCTGGTCAGCTTAAAATGGGACTAAGGTGTTCTCTAGCTATAAACTAAGCTCATCTGTTTCAAGTGACCTATATAAACTTTTAATGGGAACAATAGGACTACATGAAATCTGAAAAAAAAATGGGCAGATGAAACTCATAAATAACAGAGCAAGATCATGTGATTCTTAAACATTTTTAACTCTTCCTAGAATCTGAACATTTATATTTTTAAAGGTGCACCTGGGCATGATATTGAGCTAGGGCAATAACTTGCCTAGAGTTATACACTTTGTTCTTGTGGTAGGATTCAAACTCTGGTCTTATGAATTCTCTATCTTACCATTTCTATTTGCCATGAATGAATGAATTATAAAAATAATTTTATCAAGTGATTACTATTTCTGAAGTTCTGTGAGAAGTACTGAGTATACAGGGGAAAAAAAGCTGAGTAGTACTTTCATTTTCTTTTATACAGATGGAAACAAGTTTGTTTAGTAACCATGGAAGATATGCATTGGTGTAGGGGCAGGGGAAAGCAAGCAGCTGAAAATCTCTCACATGTTTCAGGCTGCAACAGTCTCAAGTGTTTTTAGGATCTGAGAGTCCCCAGCCAATTTTTCGGTGTGAGTCATGGTTAATATTTTCTCAGATAATATTTTCTCAGATAAATGATTACTCTGTTCTTCTGCTGCCATTTTCTTTAATAGATCTGCCTCAGAATTAATGATCAGTTGAAGGGATAAATTTTCCACTTTCACAAAGTCCACTTCATCAGACTTTTAACTTAAATGACCAGACCCTGCTTCTTAATTGTTCACCAGCACCAGTGATTTGGTGTCAAGACTTCAGGCCACAGAGATGTTAGGAGTGTCAGAAGCAGATTTTACTTTACAATACTTTTAACTTTTTTTTTTGATATTTTTAGCATATATCATGGACCCCTCTGACAGTGTCGTGAAGCCTATTAACTTCTCAGTATGTTTTTAAATGTACGAAATAAAATATATAAGATTATAAAGGAGACCAATTGAAAGAGTTATCAAAATATGTATTTTTGAAAGTTTGTGGATGCTATATTAAAAACCATTGATCTAAAACTATACAACTGAAATTTTTGTTATATCTTTCTTCTTCTATGTACACAATTACTTTTACATATATTCTTTATATTCTGTACCTTTTTGGTACTATGTAGAAATGCAGATAATTTATGTGGGTTTATTTTATATTCTGCAACTTTGCTAAAGTTAATTATTTCAACTAGTTTTAGTTGATTCCCTATCCAATCCAAATGATACACAATCATTTCATCTGCCAAAAGTGATAGTTTTGTTTCCTCACCTAGTCTAACTTCAATTTCTTTTGCTTCTTTTATTGCTATACCTAACATTTCTAGTGCAATATTCAATAATGGTGGTGATAATGGACATCCTTGCTTCACCTCTGATCCCATTGGGAAAGCTTCTGTTTTATCCCCATTACAGATAATGATTGCTGATGGCTTTAGATAGATACTTCTTATCATTTTAAGGAATGCTCCATTTGTTCCTATGATTTCTAGTATTTTTAATAGGAATGGGTGCTATATTTTGTCAAAAGGCTTTTCTGCATCTATTGAGACAATCATATGATTTTTTTTTGCTTTTGTTATTAATATGTTCCATTAGGCTGATACTTTTCCTAATATATTGAACCAGCCCTGCATTGTTGGCATAAATCCTACCTGGTTTTAGTGCATGGTCTATGTGATATATTGCCATAATCTCCTTGATCATATTTTATATAAAATTTTTACATCAATATTCATTAGGGAAATTGGTTTATAGGGTTTTTTTTCTCTTTTTACTTTTCCTGGTTTAGGTATCAGCAGTATCTATCTATGCAAAAGGAATTTGGTAAGACTTCTTCTTTACCTATTTTTCTAAATAGTTTATATAGTATTGGAATCAATTATTCTTTAAATGTTTGGTAGAATTCACTTGTGAATCCATCAGGTCCTGGTGATTTTTTTTTCTTAGGGAGCTCATTGATAGCTTGTTCAATTTCTTTTTCTAAGATAGGGTTATTTAAGTATTCTATCTTTTCTGTTAATCTGGGCAATTTATATTTTGTATTCATCCATTTCATTTAGATTGTTAGATTTATTGGTATATAATTTGGCAAAATAGCTCTTAATAATGGCTTTAATTTTATCCTCATTGGTGGTAAATTCACTCTTCATTTTTTATGCAAGTAATTTGGTTTTCTTTTTTGTTTTTTTAAAATCAATTTAGCCAATTTATCTATTTTTTTTTCATAAAACTAGCTTCTAATTTTATTAGTTCAATGGTTTTATTACTTTAAATTTTTTAATCTGTCTTTTGATTTTTAAGATTTCCAATTCACTTATTATTTAAAGTTTTACTTATACATTTCCTACTTTGTCTGGGAAAGGTCCTAGTTCTTTAAACTGCTGTACTTCAGAGTTGTAGAATGCTGTCAGCAATGCTGGTTAAGGTCTAATGTTATAACAGGTCAAGTAGGAAATCTAAAGGAACCTCACAAAGATTTCTTAAGAGAATTTTGCTTTACCTTTCACCTAACAGTAAGTAATTTAACATTATTATTATCTTCTTAATTTAAAACAAAATATACCTCATTAAATATTTCACATTCTATAATGGATACATTTATGATCAATTCAGATCAAGAGGGGGAAATAACCTGCCTTAACAGCTTCTTTAGAAAAAATTAAAATGCAAGAGAAACTCCTTACTCATCAAATAACAATAATTCAATGGGATGCATTTTAAAATTACGTTACAGAGAAAATCGTCTATCTTATCTCCTTTGGTATGTTTTTAAAATCACATTTGATGACATTTAAACTCAGTATAGTGTTATCCAGTATGAAGTAATTACAGCCAATTAAAGAGGTAATAATAGTTCCTATATCTAGTGATAATAATTTTACATATATCCGTGTATCTGTGTATATACATACATATATGTATATTCCTATGCATTTATAAGTGTACATATGTGTGTGTGTTTACCATATGACAGGCTTTTTAAAAAAATATTACTTTAAAGCATTTCAGAGGCCTGCTTTTTGTAGTACTTTAGAACGTTTTGTGTTGTATTTCTTGTTTACTACTTGAACCACTTGCTAACTTACATTATATGGTAGTTATAAATAGTAAGACTCAAATCATTCCCTTTACGGGACAGATTTAGAGGAAATATAGCACAGTGAATATTTATTCATTTTTTAAACTATGTTATCTTTTAGCAGTCCAATTCATAAAATACTACTTACTTTCTCCAAATGACATCAAGTTAGTAAATTTCAAAGTAACTTTACCCAATCATATTCCCAATTTTAGATCACAATTCTGGTTGGAGGGAAGGGTGTCCTCAAACCTCTTATTAAATCGTAAGAATTTAAGGCAAAAGGTACATTATAGCACAATTTTTTTCAAAGACTGTTATCATATTCATTTTAATAACTCAATAGGGAAGTGGCCTGTCTAATAGCATTTTGTTATATTTTAGAAAAATTTCAAATAACAATATGTTTTTAAAATCATAGATTTCTAATTAAAAAGAATTCTCATTTCTAGTCACATGTCTCATATTCTTCCAAATTCCACAATGCAAGAAAACTAGAAGTCTAAAAAACCTATTCAGTTGGATAAGAACTTATTCTTCTTAGAAAATCATTCATGTTATTATTTTTGATGTTAAACTCCCAAACAGTAGTCAACATTTATGCATTGCTCATTATGCTAAGCATTTTAGAAACATTTAATTCCTCCAACAACCCTGGGAGGTAGGTGATATTATTTTTATTATCCTTTTGTACATATAAAGACTGATCACATTTCCTAATATGCTACAATTACAATATAGCTTCAATACAAAATATTCAACCCAATCAATTTTGTATGATTATTAGCAGCAATAACTAACCCTCATTTTTTCAGAAGGGTCCATTATTTTTAGTTGGCTCACATTCAACTTTTTAAAAGACTCTTTACTACAGAAAGATATTTTAAAGAAAGGTATCTACTTCTTTTCTAAAAAACTTTTTTTTAAATGCCTTTTCTTCCCCATTAGTGCAGAGGATAACTTCTCTAATAATATTTTTTTCTAAAAAAAAACTTTTTCTTACACACTAGTGTGGGGGGAAATTTCCTCAAATTTAAAAACAATCTCTCAAAAGCTCTTTCTTCCCCGTTGTATGAGGGAAAGCTTCCTCTCCTAAAAAGGGTTTTCTTCTCCAAAGTGGAGGCTTACTTTAAACTTGAAAGAATGACTATCCCTAAAGAGTAACAAAAATATTTAGTGGTTTCCCCCTGAACGTAGGGGCTTACCTTAGCTCAGAAGAGATAATTCAGGACTGAGGAGAGTACCAGCCTCCAAGGCTGTCCTTCTTTAGGAAGTCCCTTGGTGTGAGAGCTCTCAGGGAAATTTCTCAAAGGGGGACAGTTATGGAAACCTAGAGTCAATGTTTAGGTCCCTTCTAGGTGCCAACTGTTAAAATTATCTAATATAGAAAAGAATTCTGAGGTACAAAGCTGCTGAGTAAATACTGATTTTGTAGTAATGATCAAAAGGTCAATTAATCACTCAGTAATTAATGACAAAGGAATTATTTACAGAGCTTATTTTTATAACAGAAAAGAGATATATGGTTTAGGGGAATAATGAAATAGAAGAAGAACAGGGAAGTAGGCTGATTTGAATTACTTGGCTGCTGAGAGTGTTGGGTGTCTAAGGGATAGTTTCTAGAGTGGGATAACTATGAAATCTGATATTCTCTTGGGTTAGGACCTTCAGCTTTCAACTTGTTTTCAAGACTATGTAGATGGGCCCCCATTTTCTAAAGAATGAAGGATAAGTTTGCAAGTCTCGACATGAGTTAACCAAGCCTTCTTTTTCATCTCAACCAGTAAAAATGGCCTGAGATTTGGTAGCTTGGATCTTAAAGCAGGGTGATGAACATAATGCTTCAAAATCTGAATTCCCATAACCAATTGTGTTATTAAAAAGCTAGGAGATGTGAATCTTGATGTGAGGAAAAAAAATATAACCCTTTCCCAAATTGGAGACTCTCAAATAGTAGGGCCTATAGACACAGATGATTTGCATTGATATAAAGATCTAGTGGCCTAGGCGAAAGATACCTTTACATTTGGAAGAATCAATAAAGCACTGCTAAATGATGATGATTGATGATGACAATGATGAACATGATGATAGTATTTATGTAGCACTTGAAGATTTGTAATGTGTTTTACATATCCTAATTCATCAAAAAAGCAGCCAAAGACAACAATGTAAGGGCTTAAGGGGGACAGAGGCTCTCCATTCAGATTCTGTCCACTAGAGTAGACCATATCTCTCATTGCCACGGGTGTGCTCCAACACAGCAGTTCAGAGGTTCCCTTCGTCGCTCCTGCTACAAATTAATATTTTTCCTTGCCACAGGTTTTAGCTATGCCTTCTTTGAGGGGGGAGGTGGGATGGAGTTCTGGGTTTTAAGTTCAGGTTCTGTCATACACTTTGTGAGTGTGAGTAGGTCATTTAATTACTCTATGGGCAGTGTCCTTTACAATAAAAACAAACAAACAAGCAAACAAAAATAAGGGCAGAAGAAGTAGTGGGAGGTTAAGTGATGTTTTATATATACATACATATATATATATATACACACACACACACACACACATGTATACACATACATACATACATATATATATCTAGCATTCTATGATTTTGAGTCAATTATCATCAAAAAATAATTTATATTATAAAATCATTCAATAATCAGTCTCAAATAAACCTGATAATTTATGCCTCAGTAAATAAATGATAATCACATCTGGAATTATTTGCTGAAATTACCCACTCTCTACTTTGTGTACTTCACAACATACAACCTCAATAAATAGTCTATAAACGATTATGCAATGTTTTACTATCTCAGGATGCCATCTAGTGACCAAAATAAAATATACAATGGAAGAAATTTTAAATTAAATTCATGGTGTGAACATAACTGTGGAGCCAAAGAAGAGAATGATATTCATCTATTGTATTGCTGTATGCATATATGTGTATGTATATGTGTGCATAATATATGTGTAGGCACACATATAAATGATGTGTAATCTATATGTATTACATATGGATATATGTCTATGCACATGTGTGTATTTTTATATTATTCTTAGGGAATAGGGGGTGGTTTCATTGCTGGAGGGAGCTTCCTGTGAGGAATTCCCTATGCCAATGCAGATTAGCATCTTCTCTGAAATTTATAGTCTGAGAGCTGCCCAATACCAACTGAAAGAATGAGAAGCTTACCCAGATTCACATAGCTAGTATGCATCAGATGTGGAACTAAATCTTCCTGACTCCAGACCTGTCTATCAGACATGTCATGGTGCTATATAAGTTAGATACAGACAAATACAGTTGTAAATGTAGGCAGAGGTATAGGTATAGATGTAGGTGCTGATGCAAGGATAGATGCAGAAACATACACAGATGTAGATACAAATACAGGCATACGTGTAGGTATAGCTGAAAATATTGATGTAGATATCAATATAGATGCAGGAATAATGTGGGTGGAGATGCAGACGAAGTTGAGATATAGATATAGATAAAAATGTAAACGTGATAAAAATATAGATGTAGATATAGGTATATAGACATTTACATACATATGTAATTATATATGCATATATGTACATATATGCATTAGGTAATATGGATTTATTTTGACTCTTTCTTACTTCAAGGTAAGAATCAGTTAATCAAGCAATAAATACTTATTAAGCACCTCCTATGTTCCAGGCACTGGGGATACAAAAAGAGGCAAAACCAGTCCCTGCCCTCAAGTAACTTACAGTCTAATGGGGGAGATAACATGAAAACAAATATATACAAAGGAAGCTATGTTTAGGATAAATGAGGGGGAAGTAACAGAAGGAAGACCTTGGATTAAGAAGAGTTGGGGAATGCTTCTTGTAGAAGGTGAGATTTTAGTTGCATACGTACGTACTTGCATATGTGTGGAGCACCTCTGTCCCTTACTAGCTCTGAAAAGATAAGCAAGGCCCTCCAACTCTCAGAGTATGAAATAATATGCTGAGGCAATATGTTATATACCAGTTATTTTCTGGGAAGAATCCTCACACTTTGGAAATTTACGAATGAATTGATGTATTATTCTGAAACATCAGGACAAGAATCACATGAAGGAAAAATACATCATTATCTGGGGAGGGGGAGAATGTGTGTGCATGTATAGGCTTTGTACTTCAGTCAATATGAACTTTATTGTCTGTTTATTTAAAATGGGAGTCAGTCACAAGTAGTAACTTTTTTTCTTTCTGAAAATTGTATGCAAAGAATTTCAAGAATTAATTATAACAAGGGAATGGCACTAAGTTGTACTGTTCATTGACATGTTCCACCATATTGCTTAGAGGAATTGAAAGAGTTAACTGAATTTGAATGAAAAATGGAAAATTGATCTATCTACTTCCTATGAATCCCTATATAAGGAAGGGAGTCACGATAGGATACAAGACGCAGCACGGTATAGTAGAAACCACTCTTGATTCGGAGTTTACGACCCTGACTTCAAATCCTAGCTCAGCCAGTTACTCCTTGTGTAGCCTTAGAACACTCTTGCCATTTGGGTTAGACTGTTTTTTAGGTGTTATTTTCTTCAGTATTTTTGGGGGTCTCCTTTAACAAGCTGTTGACTTGTTTTTCATGATTTTCTCACATCATTCTCATTTCTCTTCCCAGTTTTTCCTCTACTTTTCTTACTTGCTTCTGATTCATATTTTTCTTGGAGGCTTTGGATGTAGGAGCTTTCCCTTTGTTGTCTTCTTCTGGTTGTATGTTTTGATCTTCTTTGTCACAAAAGTAAGATAATATAGTCTGACTCTTTTTGCGAGGTTTGCTCATGATCCCAGCCAATTACTTTTTTAAGGTAAGAGTCTGCTTCCAGTGTGGAGAATGTACTGTCCCTAGCTTCCAGGGTTTGTACAGCTGTTTTCAGAGATACTTCTAGGGACCTATAAATTTTCAGTTCTTCCAAGGTGGTATGATAAGGGGTGAGGTGTTTACTCCTTTCCTGGCCTGTGCTCTGGTCTATGAGTGACCACAAGCAGTCTTTTCTGTCTTGGAGCTGCGAAGAGAATTTTCTCTTCCCAGCTACTACAAGCTCCACCATGCCAGCACTCCTCCTTGCCCCAGGATTGCCACCCAGAGCTGTGACACAGATCCAAGCATGGGAAAGCAGAGATTCCTGCCTCAACACTGACAAAGAGATCCCTGCAATCCCCCTCTGATCAGCCACCTGATTCCCCCTCAGTCTGTGGGCCGGAAGCTGTGGAAGCAGCTGCTGCCCCGGGGCCACACAGGGACTGGGGCTGGGACCAAACTTCTCTCTCACTGCAGTCACAGACTTTTCCTACTGACCTAAGTTGTCTTTGGTGTCTGAAGCCTCTGAGGCCTACTCCAGGTTTGCTTAGGCCTGTTTTGCTGGCATGCCTATGCTGAACTGCATACCTCTCCCTGCCAGACGCAATATACCTATCTGATCAACCATCCAGGTTGTCTTGGGCTGGAAATTTGCTTTACTCTGTCTTTTTGTGGGTTTTGCTGCTTTAGAATTTGTTTAGAGCCGTTTTTTACAGATATTTGGAGGGGCTTGGGGGAGAGCTCAAGCAAGTCACTGCTTTTACTCCATCATCTTGTCTCTGCCATCAAGGGTGCTCTATCAATAGTAACAGAGAAATTTATTTTTTCCATTCTTATGAAGTTGTTGGGAGAAAAGGTGCATTGGTTGCAGCTGACCATAGGATAGCTACTACACAGAACAGTGGAATAGCTAAATTGTATCTTCTAATTTCTGTTTCCTTTTCTCTCCTTTTAATTCCTACCTAACAGTTGTTTGGTCTGTGTGATATCTTTTCACAGGGAAAAAGAAGTTTAATATATTCCTTCACACACTGGCAGTAATACAGCTATTTTGTCTTTGGACTTTTTGTTTGTGATCCTCATTGATTGAATCATGTAACAATTGACTCTCCTCTTCTCAGCTGCTAAAGTGATTTTCCTAAAGCACTGTTCCAACCATGTCACCCCACCCACACTTACTTAATAAACTCTAGTGGCTCCCTGTGACCATTGGGATGAAATATAAATTCACCATACTCCTCAATTCAGTGACCCTGGAATCTTTGCTGTTTTCCCTGGAAAAATATTTCACTTACTGATTCCAGACATTTTCAGTGGCTGTCTGTCCCTCATGCATGGAATGTTCTCTCTCCTGATACTCATTGCCTGGCTTCTCTTGCTT